GACAAGCACTGACAATCAGACATAACCACAAATAAATTGATGGAAAAAGCGGGAACTGACAGTACACGGACGTACATGACATAAATTTCAAAGGTTTGACAAATTGAGAGAATTAGAAGACAGATGCAAGTTTGTGCAGTTTCCAACTGTGGGAACACAGAAAATCAATTCCATCTTCATTCGAATTTCCATCGGATAACGTAATTCTACAGAAATGGAAACAGAAATGATGCGACCGGAATGGAATATAGGTTCAGGTCACAAAATTTGCGAGGTATTTAAATTTCTTGCTAGGATATCGAACATTTTTCATCGCATCGCAAGAGCGGAAGATTTGATGTTGAAGAAAAGGATCATATGGAGAGAAAGAGCCTAACCCACAATTATTTATAAACTGAGCGAGTATGAAAAAGAAATTTATTCTAATTTGGAACCAACAAGAAACGAAAAACTTGCAGATAATGAAATTCATTTCGAACATATTTTGAAAGAAAAAGACTTGAAATCGAATTTTCAGAGCAGGAATATTAAATCGAAGGTTTACGAGTGGGAGAGAGTGAGGAATTCAGGAAACAAATAAAAGAAATAAATAGAGAGTTGGGGAATGAGTTAAAGCAAAGAGATTTAGATACAAGAGTCAAAGTTAGCAAAATTCGAAACTATAACCAGGTCCTTCAACCTTATTATCATCCAATATTTCGAGAAGAAATAATTTTCTAATCAATTTATCGTACCCTTTCACCCACTCGAGGAGATGCTATGCACTCTCACACAAAAACAAAGACAGAGAAAGATTTATGGATATAGTCTTTCAAGGACTTGTGGAGGATGGAAGATGCGAGGATCCTTCATTCGAGCAAAAAGCATATTCTTGTCCTTGTCTGGCAAAATATATTATTTGCTTCAAAATCGTTCGTGGTTATGTTTGATTGTCACTACTTGTCTACACCTTTTCCAGATGTATTTCAGAAAGCGTCAATTGTAATTCAGATTTCTCAAATGGAATTCAGAAAACGTCAGATGTAATTGGAATTAGTCAATTGAAATTCAGAAAATATCAATTGTAATTCAGATTCGTCAACTGAAATTCAGAGAATATCAGTTGTAATTCGGATTTTTCAATTGAAATCCAGAATGCATCAATTGAAATTCAGATATCGTCATTTGTAATTCAGAATGCGTCAATTGTCATTCAGACTACGTGATTTGTAATTCAGATAAGTCACTTGAATTTCAGAAAAAAATCAATTGAAATTCAGATTAGTCAAGTGAAATTCAGAAAACTTCAATTGTAATTCAGATTTGTCAAATGAAATTCAGAAAGCATCAATAGAAATTCAGATATCGTCAATTGTAATTCAGATTAGTTAATTGGAATTCAGACAGTAGTTATTGTTCACCGCGAAATCTAATAAGTAATTATATTATGTGGGATATACAACAACACACGTTTGTTTTTATTAAACTCATTCATAATTCAATAACTACATATAAGCGAGTGAAAATGTATGTGTATGAAAATGAACAATATTGGAATGAAATTGAGACATAGCAGGTAAAAATGAAAATATTCATCTTTCAGCGACCTACGGGCATATTTTCTAAAGTCAAAGCAGCAGCATGGTGAATCGTGGTATGCTGTGCTGCTCGAGCACAGTCACCTCCAACAAATCATACAGTTGTCTTTGGAATTCATTCTATGAGATGATGTATAATTATTTTAAGTTAGAATATTCGTTCCCAGGACAATAGGATATACACATTAGGTAGGTAGGTTGTGATAATGATGGTTTGTAGGTAGGTATGCATGCAAAGGTAACACTGTTCCATATTTCTGAATTTCAATTGACTAATCTGAATTACAATTGATATTTTCTAAAATTCAATTGACTAATCTGAATTACAAATGATGCTTTCTGAATTTCAATCAACTATTCTGAATTACAAATGACATAGTCTGAATTACAATTGACCCATTCTGAATTACAAATGATACATTCTGAATTATAAATGACGCTTTCTGAATTTCAATTGACGCTTTCTGAATTCTAACTGACGCTTTCTGAATTTCAGTTGATTATTCTGAATTACAAATGGCGCATCCTGAATATGAATTGACAATTCTGAATTACATTTGATATTTTCTGAATTTCAATTGACTAATCTGAATTACAAATGATGCTTTCTGAATTTCAATCAACTATTCTGAATTACAAATGACATAGTCTGAATTACAATTGACCCATTCTGAATTACAAATGATACATTCTGAATTATAAATGACGCTTTCTGAATTTCAATTGACGCTTTCTGAATTCTAACTGACGCTTTCTGAATTTCAGTTGATTATTCTGAATTACAAATGGCGCATTCTGAATATGAATTGACAATTCTGAATTACATTTGATATTTTCTGAATTTCAATTGACTAATCTGAATTACAAATGATATTGTCTGAATTGCATATGACGCTTTCTGAATTACTATTGGAAAAGGTGTAGTGTCCGTACTCTAATATACAAAAAACGTCAAAACAGCAGTGTCAAGTACCTTTAGGAACTCTTGTTTCCATGACTTATAATAATAGGAAACGGGTATTTCCATCCAAATCAAAAATGACACTTGTAGTACCTATCCACATAAAAAAACAGTTTATTAGAAATGTCTATTGGTACTGGTACTGATGGGGGACGTTCACAAGTCAGCAAATAGTCCCTAATGGGACCTTTCTGCAAGCCCCAAAGGTGTTTTCCAATGACTGATGTGGTTCGCTTAAGAGAGCCGGCTATAATATCCTTTTAAGGCACCGCCCACCAGCTTTCCTGATAACCATTTGGGAAAACTAAAAAGAAATTGAATCTCTCTCAATTTTACAGAAAAAAATTATTGAGAACAATGACGTTCAAAGAACGAAGTTACTTTTGCAAAAACTAATTTAAGGATCTTGGCATTCTAACGGTCATTTCATATCACATTTTCGAATGTGTAACTTTCGTTGAAAAGAATATTTCTAAATACAATGCATCTGGTGATATTGTCAGTTACAGTATGAGAGACAAGTCGCTGATTAGACTACCTCATCATAGACTCACCTTAACGGCAGAAAGTTGTGCTGTAATGCCCTTGAAACTATATAATCACTTACCTAAGGTTCTGAGAGATGTACCTGATGTAAAAGCATTCGAAATTGAAACTAAGAGATTACTACTTCAGCACTCGTTATACTCATGAAACGAATATTTCGATACCAATTTTTCGAAATAATAAGTACATGTGAAAATTACTGTTCTGTATTGTAATGATATTCCCCTTGGAGGGGCTTTAGAAACATCAGCAGGAAGGCAGGAGTACAGCGATCATCCTGTATCACGCATCCCAGATTGCTCTCCAACCTCTCAATGATTCCTACATACACCAGCATATTTCCGAACACTCAATATATGCCGCAGTGACAAATAACGTCACAGAAGATTCTGGAATGTTCTGGAAACAATCGATGGAACAATTAGAGAGAGAGGTTTTGTTCTAAGAAGCTTCTATACCTTTTCAACTTCAATTTCGGAATCGGTAAGTTATATTTCGGAAAAAATAATCTCGATTTCAGAATTGGTTAGTTCGATTTCAGAAATGGTAAACTCAATTTCAGAATCGGTGAGATGAATTTCAGAAAAAGTCCATTTAATTTCAGAAATGGTAAGTTGTATTTCAGAATTGGTAGGTTCAATTTCAGAAAATGAATCCTTATATTTGTTTGAAATGTTTCCAATTGCATGTGAGATTAACAAACCATATTCACAATATTCAACTTTTCGAAAACAATTCAATAACATAATGAAATTATAATCTCAATTTAATTCACAGATGTCTTCCATCCGAATCGCAGAAGGATAGTAGCGTTGCACATGATTATAAGAATGCAAACACATTTGAGGTGTTATCATTTTCATTGAATGATCTGCACATTCTTCACGACATCGCAGTCTGAATTCTATCTCGTTGAGCAATCTGTTCGGATCCCCAGCTATGACCCTTTGGCGATGCTATTGCAAATAGCTCTTTACTTCTGTCTTGAGCGCACTCCATATTTATTCAATCGGATTCAAAATAGGGCTGTAAGGTTCCAATCTGCAAAATATAACATCTTGAAATTCTTCCTCCATGCATATCTCTTCTATTCTTGAATGTGTAGCGGTGCATTATCCAGAACCACCACTATGGCATCTGCAGGATGTCCATTTCAAACGCACACTCTCGAACACCTTTCCATCCACTGTAAACAATCTTCTCTTTTGCAAACGAAAACATTTCAAACATATATAAGGATTCATCTTCTGAAATTGAACCTACCAATTCTGAATTAAAACTTACCATTCTGAAATTGAATGGACTTTTTCTGAAATTCATCTCACCGATTCTGAAATTGAGTTTACCATTTCTGAAATCGAACTAACCAATTCTGAAATCGAGATTACTTTTTCCGAAATATAACTCACCAATTCCGAAATTGAAGTTGAAAAGGTATAGAACGAAGAGAATGAGACGGAAGATCATTCGAGAACCTTCTCGAACCAAAGCCTGCCGAGTGATCTCATATATAAACGGCCGAACAACTGCTGTCAGGCAGTCAAACAGCGAGTGTCAGAGAGACAGTTTTATACCGCGTGTTATAAATCGTTTTACATAAATAGTAGTTATAAGTTCGATATAAATTAGTGTTTCTTTAGTTCAAATAAATCAGTTCGAAAATAAATAGTGTCGTGTTCGCATCTGCACCCGAATAACGTAACAGTAGGTACTAAGTATGTGGTATGCTGTTCACATTATGTGAATATTAAGTGTGCAAATTGTAATTGTAATTATTGCTCTTCGTTTTGTCTAGTTCAGATATTTTTTGACTCATCCACATGTCATGTATTTTGACCTTATTGGAATGAATAAATAAATGAATAAATGAATAAAAGAATAAATGAATACTAGTTTATTTAAGAAGGTTCACTCACCTAGCACGACCATGGTCTTAGTTTCGATGTCCTCGCTCTGCATCGTGGAAACCGAGCAGGTGTAATCCCCCGAAAGATCCGGCAAGGCTTTGAGAATGTGCAACGCCCTGTGAACGCTGTTCGCATCCCTGCTTGCCACATATTCCAGATTCAGGCGGTCCTTCAGGATGCCAGAGACTTGCGGTCGCTTTTTTGTACCTTTTCCAAGGAAAACGTATTAATCTAACCTGTTTATTGTTAGATAGATAGATAGATAGATATACAGGGCACCCCTTAATGATATCATAATAATGTTTATTCATCATCAAATAAGTACAGAGAAGTAAAAATATAATTGTGACTCTGTGGGAATAACATATAGGTGAGCTACATAATTATGTAAATAAACAACAACGACTCCACTAAGGCATAGCCAGGGCGTGGATTGCAGACAAACACTACTAAACTCCATTGCCTACAGTTACATCAATAAAAAAGTAAATACATGAAACGAGGATAAATAACAACTAGTATCAATAATGACATTGGTGGTTTGAGGTAATGAATGATGAAATAAAAATTAAGTATGATATAAGGTTAAAAAATGATACATGAGGTTGAAACTAAAAAGAATTAAATATCAAGAAAAAGGTATAGCTAGCCGAATATAGGATCAATCAATTTGTGAATGATGAATCTATCTATACTGAGTAGATGTGATTTGACTTTTTTTTTGAATGACAATATGGTATGTGCTTTCCTAAGTTCAAGTGGCAAGTAATCACAAAGTCTATTTGCTAGGTAGGTGTAAGTACATTGGATTAGTGTCTTTGAAGAATATATTGTGGTGAGAGCTGCATTGGCTTTGGATCTTGTATAATGGGTGTGATCTACATAATTTAAGTATTTTCGATTTTTGAACTGTTCGTTTACAATTTCAGTAAAAAATAATTGTCTCATATCATGCATTTTAGATTCTTCAAACAATAATTTCGATGCGTATTTGAATGGTTTGTAGACGAGAATTCTTATAGGTCCTTCTTCTGCAATACATTTAGTTTTTTTAAATGGGTGGATGCTACCCCACCCCATCCAAGAATTTCATATGTTAATCGCGATTCAATAAGCGCATAATAAATAATTTTCATTTGGGTGGTGTCCAAAATATTTCTGAGATGTCTGTCAATAGTCACTTCTAAATATTTGACCTTTTCTGATGAACGGATAGTGATATACTTAATTGCCATTGTTGTCGATATTTAGCGATTCATAATGGGGCAAAGTATTAATGTAGCAGGAAAACGGTGAGTAGCTAGTTTTTTCATAATTGATTGACAGAGTCTTCTGATTGAAACAATCAAACAGCTTACTTATATCCTGTTCTGCTTTTATTTCAAGTTCATCCCAAGTATCAGCGTCAAACAACACTGCTGTGTCATCAGCGAAGCAGATTAGCATTCCAGATGTATTGAATGTGAGTATATTGTTCATATAAGTAGTGAAAAAAATAGGTCCTAAGACGGTTCCTTGTGGAATTCCACATTCTACAAATTGTTTTCCACTAATTATAGAGTCAATTTCAACATACTGTTTCCTTTCACTCAGGTAACTTTTCATCAAATTGAGAGTATTTCCCCGATATGCTAATATTCATCAAGGGGCCGATTATTCGACCCATTTCAAGCAATTAACTTTAAATGAACATATCCCGTATACGTCCTAACTTTTGAGATACAGGGTGTCATGTCGAAAATATGCATCGATTGTTTTTTGTCCACCCTGTATCTTTTCGTGATGACACATTCAGTCTGCTATGTGACTGTATCGGTATGAAAATTTCAAAATGTTTCATACTGTGGTTATCCAGTAATGAATGTCCGTTTTTTCTCTGAAACGAAGCGTTCCATCAAGTATCATCTAGAGGATCTTTTTTGTACATAGTTGTATAGCCTTTCCTAGCATTGTACGAAACACTTTTGAGTGAAATTCAAACAATAAAATTCCCGTAACGGTGTCACTGGCAGAGGAAATGAAAATTTGTGTACATCATAAAATGCACCTTGATGCATAAAAAACTTGTACCAAATTTCATGAAGATGTATACGTCAATATTGTCTCAGTTATTATCGAGAAACTGAATATTTTTCAAAAGTTCATAATCCTGTATCTCATAAGTTAAGACTTTCCGGACATACGTTCATGAGGAGTTTTCTTCTTGAAATTAGTCAAAGAATCACCCCCTCAAATATAAGCATGTCTTCAAGGAACACCCTGTATACTTTATCGTCCAAGAATGTTCACATTGACAAAGTGAGTTGGAAATATAGCTATAAATGAAAATATAAATATTGATGACTGAAATTGATTGAATATAATACCTGAATGAATATTATATATGGACAGACAAGAAATGATAAATAAACAGCCTTGCATATTAACCCTTTCATTGCGGGAACCGGAAAAACCCGCAAAACGTTTGTACACCAAATACGCGGGAGACGGCTTTTCACGCACGTGTTTCTAACGCATTCATTGCGGGTGCCCGGTGGCGATTTTACTAAATATACTGCACGCTAGCACAAACCACGCCCACCATAATACGTCATATCTCCAAACATTACCGATATACTCGGAGTCAGCACATCGCATGAATATACTGTGCTCCAACGCAAGAATACACTTTTTATGCTTTTGGGTGTATGATAAATTGACATTCATCATACAGGGCGTGGAAATGAATTCTGAATTGAGACTCTATCACGAATCTGCGATTAGAGGTCTATAAAAATCACAAGTTTCCATCGTTCAAGTTTGAACCCCCTGATTGGGTATGAAAGTTTTGAAAAGGAATATTCTCAGATAAATCATGAACATACAAAAATGGATATATATTTATATAAAGCAATACATTGAGAATTCGCATTCTCTATGTGATGAGAATATTTACTCTTTTTCAGTTAATTCAATAGAAAACAACTACTTTCCTGGCAAATAGCCAGGAAAGTAGTTGTTTTCTGTTGAATATTCAGAATGATGTGTGTATATACATATTTTTGTCTGAAGGAGAATGCAAATTCTCAATTTCAGAAATTTTTATATTTTATTTTCAAACTCTTATCGTGTGTGTTAAATAGATATAATTCAATGTTCGTCGTGGCATATAGCCAGGAAAGTAGTTGTTTTCTATTGAATTAACTGAAAAAGAGTAAATATTCTCATCACATAGAGAATGCGAATTCTCAATGTATTGCTTTATATAAATATATATCCATTTTTGTATGTTCATGATTTATCTGAGAATATTCCTTTTCAACACACTTTTTATGATTTTGACACGAATTCGACTGAAGCTCCCTCGTTGTCAATCTCTTGTACGCAGTATATTCATACACCCAAATGGTCTACTGGTTAACGCTGTCGACTTTCATTCTGAAGGCCCATGGTTCGAATCGCTGTGAACTTGACTTTTTTTTTCACCAATGTTTTTTAACTTCATTCTAGTTTTCCTTTTTCATAAAATACTTGATGTCAAATAGGTTAGTGCGTTTAGGATAAACAGTCTCATTTTATTCAATTTTGTTGAAGAACTCAACTTTTGAAATATATTATTAATCAATGTGTTTCTACACTCCATTCGGTTTTCTTTCCTCAAAAATATTGCAATCAGGGATAGGTTAGTTCGTTGAGGATAAATAGTCTCTGAGTTTTGCCTAAGTAAAGTACTTTGAAGATGAGATATGACGGTGGGCGTGGTATGTGCTAGCGTACAGTATATTTAGTAAAATCGCTGCCCGGCGTTCTCGTCTACGTATATTGATATGTCAAGATGCAACTAAACATGTCTCAACAGGATTCAACGATTGGAGATGCGGTTTTCATTTTATTCAATATTTCAGTATCCAAGTAGTAGCTGCATCAGTTGGTTGGTTTTTATTTGTTTCAAGTGAATTTAAACCACGATGGCTCGAAAATACCTTAATGACGATCAAATTGAAGAGTTGTTGTATGCTGAAAGGAACTAAATTCTGCTTTGCGCCTTGTGATGTTCCACTGTGTATTATAAAATTTTTTGAAAGGTATCACAGTGTCAAAAATCATTAAATCCCATTTCACATATGGAAATATTTTCAATTCATTATAAATATCAGCTATCGCATTATAACATTTCATTTCAAAAAAGACTATTGAAATCTAACTTATTTTGGGTTAAAATTGCGGGAGACGGGTGTACACGTCCGTACCTGACTTGCACGGAAAAAAAAGATTTGTTGCATCAACAAAAAATTATTTATGCTTGAATTATTTTTGTTGGACTGAGCAATTTTTTGTTGAATCAACCAGATACATGATTATTTCATGGAAGCAGCTTGTTCAAATCAAGAATGTAGTCTAATTGAATCAACAGTATAATATCAATTCCATCAACAAAATATATGGTTTTATCAAAAACAAATTATGTTGATCCAAAATAATGTCGATGTTGATTCAATTATAAACATTTTGTTGATTTGATCGAATAATGATCATTTTGATGGGAATATATCTTTGGAACAACATACAAGTTTTCGTATTCCGATGTAGCAATGAACTTGTTTCGATCGGATCATTTGCTTGAATAGAGCAACGAAATATGTAATATCAATGAAATATTATTTTGTTCATTCTACATCAACTCAAATTTTTGCCTCTAGATGGCGATCATTTCGCCTCGTCTATACCAGCCTCGAATTCATTATATACGTGAAGCCTGATTCTTCGTGTTTAAATATCAACTAGATGAATCGAACTTTGGATGGTAGCAATCCTAAATAGTTTTCCATCAGCTGAAGAGAAGTTAAGACTGATGATCTATGCGCTAGGAGTCGACTTGTTTTCTATTTTTGTTTATTCTATTGATGTGAAATTTCAGAAAATTCCCGAATATTGAATTTGGTTCAACAAAACAATTTGTCGAATGGAAATATAGTTTCTCTTGAATCAACAAAATATTTCATTGAATTAACCAAATATTTTATTGAATCAAACAAATATTTCATTGAATCAACCAAATATTTCTTTGAATCAACCAAATATTTCGTTGAATCAACTGAATATTTGATTGAAGCAATATCTTATTATTTTGAATCATACAAAATGATTGTTTGAGCCAATTCAATATCTCTTCAAAACCATTCATGGATGTGCTCGATTGAAGAAGATCCAGAGTTCATGCAAGACATATTTACTTGATTCAAACTTCAAATTCGCTCTGAAACAAGATATAGATTTACTCATTTCAAGATTATATTTTGTCCTGTATATATGACACTTTTATTTGCTCCATTCAATTAAATTTTGCTTGATTCAACAATTCCTTTTTTTTTCGTGTGCGTATACCGGAAGACGGGCGTTCCCGCAACGCTAAATTTTCCCCTTTTTGAGAGCACGACTATATTCTACCCGCAATGGAAGGGTTAAAAGCAATTGCATCACATACATATTATAATATCAACAAAGAAATAGTCACAATGCTCAAAGTGGAATGAAATGGTAAATAAATTCAAGAAGCTCAAAGTCATATCCACACAAAGTTCATAAAATGTACAACAATGGTAGATTCCGGTAGAAAAACAACTACTTTCCTGGCCACGCAGAACATTGAATTACATCCTCCCGAAATCTATGCATCTCGATCTGGTCCTGCGCGGGGCCACGTGGATTTCACGTTTCTCCAAAAGGCTGCAAAAATGCATGCGTTCATTCCGAATTCGAGGGCAAAAAAATCGTGAAAGAAAGTGAAACTCAATGTCCAAGAAATGACTGGAAAAAGGTCTCTGGGGGTTTTTAGGCGCGATGATTCCGAATTCGAGGATGATAAGATAAACGAAAAACAATAGTTGCTTCAATACATTGGTGAATTTCAACTCACCAGGTATCCATTGGTACACTAAAGTCTTATTGAAGAACCATTTGACCACTAGCTCCTGATCGTTAGTTTCTAACGTGAAATCACAGTCCAATATCACAGGATGGCCAAAATGAATTATTTCCGGAACGTCTAATTTGTGTATTTTCACTCCCGTGCCGAGATGAATCAGAACTGAAACCAAACAAAAACCACAAATGAGATTGATACAAAAATATAATCAATTATTTCGATTGCAAAAAATTCAAAGCATGTTCGATTTGGATTAAAAGTAACTCTGTTTGATTCGCAAAATTTGCGTGCTCGGCTTCGCGGTCGGTCCGCCTCGTCAACGCAAATATCGCTTGTCAAACAAAGTGTGACATTTGATCCAAATAAAACAATGTTCTATTTTATTCAGTTTCAATAACTATTTTGGAAAATACTCATTTATAAACTACCTAGATGATAAGGTCAACATGCCTTCGACGTAGGCTGACGATATTATTTAACACAGATTCTGAAGATATTCATATATAATATATTTCATTTGATTAGATGTCTATTCTAGAACATCATTTTGGTCTACAGTGGAATCGGATTGACTGAGTTTTTTCGGTATTGAAAAATAGATCATCAAATCCATACCAGTCGGATATATTTTTCAAAATATTATCGCATTTGGAGGTCAAGATATTGTCATTCCTATCATGAATCAATAATGAGTTATCACCTGCATTAATGACAAGAAATGTTTCATGAGTTAATTTTCATTAACATCAGAGTGAAAAAAAAATGGGGCTCAATGTGAATCCTTGTGGTACCCCTGTGAGACAGTTCATAGATTTTTTTTATACACTCAGTTCCAAAAAAGTGACGCACTTGATATTTGACCTATCTTCTAAAAAAAAAATTAGGCTGATTTTTATTTCTTTTCAATTTGTTGGTAAGTTATGCATTTGTCTTTGAAAAACAATAAAGAAGTGGAATTTTTTTCAAATCCTCCTTGATGGTGGTGGAATAACTCGAACCATGAATAATTCTTAATTTTTGACAGACCCTGTGTGTAAATTGAATAATGGCATAGAGAGTGCTTGCACCCTATACGAAAGAGGCTTCTTTTGCGAGCATTTTGTTTTTTCATTCATTGATTCATCCCTAGAATTTTCCGAATTACATCTTTTTTTGCTGAATCCTTGCAGATTACCAACTTTCTGAATTTATCGAGAAACAATTCTTTAATGAAATAAACTGATACCAATAATTTTAAAAAACATTTTTATTGAATACAAAATTATGAATTGGAATGACTGCTTAATACCGTGTATTGCCTCCTCTAGCAACTCTAAGAACTTCTAAACTACGAGGCATACTGGAAATCAAGTTGCTTATCGTTTCCATTGGTATACGATCCCATTCTTTCACTAATGCATCTGCCATTTCTGCGAGACTTTCCGGAGACCTCTTTCGAGAATGTACCCTTCTCTCTAATCCATGCCACAAATGTTCTATAGGATTCATATCGGGGCTTCTCGCAGGCCATTGTAATGTGGTAATACCAGTAGCTTCTGAGAAGTTTCGCACTATTGCTGCGGTGTGTTGTCGGGCATTATCCTGCATCAATATGAAATTATTGCCCACTAACTCTGCATAAGGTAAGACATACTGCTCTAAGATGTCAATGTGAATTTGGGTATTCATCGACTGCCTCACCGGAGGTGGTGTCTTTCCATTCATTGAAATCCCTCCCCATACCATAACGGACCCACCATTGAAACTTCAGCATTCTGTTATTTAATTTGGATTGAACCGTTCACCAGTTATTCTCCAAACTCTTTTTCTTCCATCCACCATGTTAAGGCAAAATCTTGACTCATCCGTAAACAAGACATTCGACCATCCAGGAATATTCCACTGTCCATAATTTTCAACAAAATTTCTTCTAGCAGCACGATGTTCGGGCAATAATTTGGGACCTTTTGCAGGTCTCCTAGCTTTTAAATTAACTTCTTTTAGACGTCTACATACCGTCTGCTTACTTACTGCAACATCACGAATTTGGCGAAGATCTTGCTGAACATTTACCGCTGTATCAGATCGATTTCGTATAATCCGCAATCTCAAGAAGCGATCATCTCTTGGAGAAGTTGGGGGTGGGAAGTGGGGGTGACCATACCGACCCTCCGAGCGATGCTTCCTGTTTGTTCGTACTTGCGGATTGCTATACGAGCAGTTGCTTCATGAACTCCCACTGCACGAGCGGCTAAACGTTTACTACGCTCATCGCTTACTTACTTACTTGTTCAGGATTTATTTGGGACATTTTATGTAATTTTATTCAATAAAACAAGACACTTAACTAATGACACAACGACAAATGGTCAAATATGGAGGCAAACAACAAACTAGTTGCTATGGCAACGGCATTTGTCTTTTCGAAGCAATGTGATCCTACCAGAGTACAACCCAATCAATTTTGAGTTCTCTGATCCTTCAATGAATTCAATTTGTGGGATAAGCGTAGGATATCAGCAAAACAGCTGTAATTCGGAAAATTTTAGAGATAAATCAATGGATAGAAAAAAATGCTCGCAAAAGAAGCCTATTTCGTATAGGGTGCAAGCACTGCATGCCATTACTCAATTAACACACAGGGTGAGTCAAAAATTAAGAATAAATCATGGTTCGAGTTAATCCACCACCATCAAGGGGGCTTCGAAAAAAATTTCACCTATTAATTTCTTTTTCAAAGACGAATGAATTACCTATCAACAAATAAAAATAAATAACAATCGGCTTACTATTTTTTGTTTCTTGTTTTAAGAAGATAGGTAGAATATCAAGTGCGTCACTTTTTTTGGAACTGAGTGTATTTCCTGCCTCTATGGATGTGAGACAAACATACTGCTGTCTATTTTGTAAAAATGATGAGACCCAATCATAGGCATTGCCACGAATTCACGTAACGTAGGCAAGTTGATACCCAGTGAATCATAGAGCCGTCTGATGTGACAAAATCGATCATGATTTTTCTGATGCATAACAATCGTCCCAGGACTCTGGAAGTCCTCAAAATCAACTATCAAACCGAATCGCCCATAAACTTCAGAACATTCCACACCTACATTTCCGACCATTCAGAAGCCTGTGTTTTGTATCATTATCATTATCATTATCAACTCAACGAATTTCGTCCATGGAGGAAGGAGCATGAAATTACAATGGAAATTAAATCGTAAAAATCATCCATACTCAAAGTGGTCCAATGTATTTTCAATGAAAATAAATACTCAAAGTCAGTCCACCACACTTCATGTAAAAATTAGTCAATCAAAAAGTAACCGGATTCGGGACAACAACCATCATCAGACTGCAATACCTCAAATACTTGATGAATGTAGAATTGTAAAAATAATTGTCACAGAAAAAACAAACCTCATGAGGACGCAACAAATCATAAGGAGTTAAAACATCATTGGGTTGACCATTAAGGCAAGTCAGGTAGGAGTAAGTTTGAAGCGGCTGAAGAGCCAGAAAAATCTGGCTCTGATGAGGTTTAAAATAAAAAAACTGAGTTCTTTTAAAGAAGTTCATATCATCACATGTTGACTGGAAAAATTGATACAGAGAATGAAATAACAATTTTTGCACTAAACTTCAAAGACACATCATTCATAATCATTCAAATGTTGATTATTCGTCGATTCGAATATTCGAGGCTATGTGTTTCACACCATCGCACGAGCACGGTACTGAAAACTCGAACTTCGAGCGAGCAAGGAGCAAGAAAGCCAGTGGAAATGATTCCTCCACAAAAATTTGCTCTTGATATTCTCAGTGGAACACGCAAAACGCGTTCAGTGCTGAAAATGCTCGAGCTAGTACGACGAGTGGTAAACGCTATAAGGAATCAGGAAAAAATGGACGAATTTGATGATTTTCATGAAGTTCACGTTTCATTATATTCTCAAATCCAAGCGTCTGCAGCGTGCTACACGGAAAAAAGGATTTGTAGCATCATCAAATTATTTATGCTCGAATGATTTTTGTTGGACTAAGAAATTTTTTGTTGAATTGAACAGCAACATGATTATTCTGGAATGGAAGCAGCTTGTTCAAATCCATCAGAATATAGTTAAATTGAATCTACAGTAAAATATCAATTCCATCATATGGTCATCTAAAAAACATATTACGTCGATCCAGAATAAGGTCGATGTTGATTGAACTACAAACATTCCGTTAATTTGTTGGAATAATGATAATTTTGATAAGAATATATCTTTGAAACAACATACAAGTCATTCCGATGTAGCAATAATGAACTCCTTTCGAACGGATCATTTCTTTGAATAGAGCAACAAAATATCTAATATCAATGGAATATTTTGTTCATTCAACATCAAGTTAAATTTTCGCCACTAGATGGCGATCTTTCCGCCTCTTCTATGCCTGCCTCGAATTCATTATGTACGTGAAGCCTGATTCTTTATGTTTCTTTATTTTCTCTTGAATCAACGAAATATTTCATTATTATATCAACAAAATATTTCATTGAATCAACCAAATATTTCATAAAATCAACCAAATAAATAATATTTGATTGACTCAATATCTCACTATTTTGAATAGAACAAAATAATTGTTTGAGCAATTGAATATCTCTACATAAACAATTCATGGATGTGCTTGATTGAATTAGATCCAGAGGTTATGCAAGACATATTCACTTGATTCAAACTTCAAATTCGCTCTGGAACAAGATATAGATTTACTAATTTCAAGATTATATTTTGTCATGCATATATGACACTTGGTTTAGGTTCAGGTTAAGGTTCAATGTGAGTGGGGCGAATACCTGCCCTCCACTGCGACCCCAGATGGGTGTATTGTGGCTCACCCCTAGAGGTTACAGTTCACTGTATAATCCACATCTTTTTACAAAGTTCATGGATGAATCAGGTGAGATTTGTCTGGAATCGATCGATAGGTTCTGAATTGGTAAAGCCAAATATATCGAACCTTTGTCTCTCTAAGTGAGAGCATGAACATATAATATGTGTTCAGCAGTTTCGTCCTCCACACAGCATAATCGACAGTTCGTTTGTTAGTTCAGACCCATCCTTCCCAGTCCTGTCAGAATTCGCAGGTTACCCCTGCTCCATTCTAGGATCTGCCTGGTTATATTTTTCGAT